CAGTGGTTCTCAACCTGTGGGTCGGGACCCCATTTGGGGTCGATCGACCATTTCATGGGGGTCGCCAAGCAAGGCTGTCCGCCATTTTTTTGTCTGCCATTTTTTTTGTCCGCCATTTTTTTCCCCTTTTCCGGCGGGTGCCTTACCTCCCTTGGGCTGGGCCAGCTGGTGGTCGGCCTGCTCCGTCTCTGCCGCTTGCCAGCTACGCCTCGGCCAGCGTAGGGGGTGGAACCACGCATGCGTGGCGCTCCCGGGCAGGGAAAGTCCTCGACTTACGACCAGTTGGGTAGTCCTCGACTTACGACCGGTTGGGTAGTCCTCGACTTACGACCAGTTTAGTCCTCGACTTACGACCGGTTTAGTCCTTGACTTAAGACCGGTTGGGGTCGCGGCATTAAAAAGGTTGAGAACCACTGCTCTAAGGGGCCCAGAGGCAGGGAAAAGGAGAGAAGAGGGAGCCATTATCCCTGCAGCTGCTATGAGGAGTCATGCCAAAGACAAGCAGTGTTACTGGTGATTTAGGAATTTGGGAAAAATTCAGGCTTCAGGGACGGGATAATGTTTCAAGTACTTTAATCAGCACCAGTTATATCAGCAGGTCTGCTTGGTATTTTCTTTTATCATAGTTTTATGTTTGCCTTGAATGTATTCTGTATTAGCAGTTTTAAACAGAAAATAACTATTGATGGACAGGCTTCAAGAAATTTAACCTTAGTTATGTCACAATCTGTGTTGCATTCCCATCACCAGGCTAGTTCAAAAACATGTAAAAATTCATCAAATTCTCATATGCAAACCAGAGCATTCACAAACCACACTTCATATCCTTTTATTCTTCAACACAGAAGTCACATGTACATGAACATACTTGGACCTCCTAAAATCACATGTGAAATTCCAGAACATCACACTAAATGTTCCAACCCAACTTCATTCTGACAGTGTAGCTATTCAACAGAATTTCTAAGCTCACCGCTTTAATCTTCTTTAACATCTTTAGATCCATAACTGGATAAATGCAAGACCGTTTCATGTCAATATCATACAGAAAAGTGACTATTTGAAAGTTGAAAGAAAAGTGGTTATTTTACCTGGATGGGTGGCTCAATCATTATCCACGCAGGCAGCATCAAATTTGGATTCAGAGGCTGAGTTCCAACTCGGAAATAAATCCCACCATAGCTGTCACAGGCCCAGATGTGCTGATTTCCACATGCTAAGCTTGTAAGTGTCACAGCACCTAATTAGAAATGGGAGATTTCAGTTAGTTAGTCTCTTCAATGGTGATTTATGACACCAGTTAGACTTAACCTACAGAAGTACTGTGTTCCGCCCTGCCCCAGACTAATAATTTCAGGTGTGTGGGGATAAAATATTCTTCTATGACTCTTGTAATATATGATGAAAAAAGATCTAAGCACACATTTCCTTCATCAAAAATAATTTGGACATCAGACTTATTAAGCAAATAAGTCCCTACCTCCCAAACCCACAGTGCTTCTAATGTGCTCTCAAAATACCAAATGTGCCTACCAGGCCCAATGTTGGACACTCCTATACTGAATTATCTAGAATGAACCCCTCTGCCCTCTTTCAGCATTCTTTCCACATACAGATCTTGGGGGGAGGAGAGTGGAATTGCTTTATTATTTGTTTTACTGAAGAGGTTTCTATACTTGCAGAGGAATTCTCACATGAAATTCTTTATCGCTGCCAATAATAGATAAGCTTACATTCCATTTCAGATTATCTTTACAATCTGAATTATAGTATAATTGGAAAGCAAGTATGTGCCTTTCAGGCCTATTATTAACATACCTTTTTAATGTAGAAGCTCCTGTTTATTGAAGCACAATATATTGAACAATATATATATATTTATATATATATATAAAATATGTCACTAAATGAGGAATAGTAAAGGAAACACAATTTGTTATATAATTAAGAGATGCAGATTTTCACATGAACTCAAAAGAACTCCCTCTGGGAGACAGCTAAGCTTACAAAATCTATAAATACATTTTAATGTTTTACATTCCAAATGTTATTAGCAAATAATGGCTGCTGATGAGATCTATGGGATAAATATCTCAAGATTAGTTATTTTCATTTCCCCTATACTAAGCCAATAAGAAGTACTTATCTTAAAGAGCTATATGATTCACACAGCATGTACTGTTTCATTAAAACAACATCATCAACATTTTGCTTCTTTCTCTAAGAGTGAAATAGAAAGTATAAAGATGCAAAATAACTCCCCAGTTGTTCATCAATTTTCCAATAACAGAATACTTGTTCCTAGAAATGTCAGCTTGTTTGATTTTTTTGCTCTTTGACTTTAGAAAGATGCAAGGAAAGAATACCTATGTGATGTCACTGGCTTTAGAAGTTATATATTCTCTCTCTCTCTCTCTCTCTCTCTCTCTCTCTCTCTCTCTCTCTGTGTGTGTGTGTGTGTGGTGTGTGTGTGTGTGTGTGTGTGTGTGTGTGTGTGTGTATTAGACCTAGAAGAGTACCACCTCAAACAACTAGGTGGAAGAATGAAATATTCTAACTACATGGCTAAAGTTTTAAAATGAATTAATCAAACTGGATTCAAATCAAAAGGATATGAAAATATTAATCTTCGCTTATTTCTTTATAATCGCTTAAATTCTGCCTTTATTTTAATATTGTTACACAATACCTAATCAGTCAAAAATAATTTGAAAATATTAGGATAAATTTTCTATTGATCTAACTTTCAGTACAGCTATTAAAAAATCACTTCACTGCCATTTTTTATCATATTAACCCGTGTTTGATGATCAGCTGATAGTTTTAATCTAAATAAGTGCTAGGATCATTGGAACACAGAGTCACATACAATCTCCTCTGCATTATTGGATAGTTATGTACATGCACAGCACAATTTGATGTCCAAATATATACTTATTGTTGAGTATTTTCAGCTTCTATTCTCATTCCAATTTTAGATGTTTCTCTTACAAAAACTGATGTGAATTATTCATCCAGATAATCATATGTTTCTGTTGGCCAGCTCGGTGCCAAAGTCCATTTGACTTTATTGTAAAAATTCTGAATACAGCAGAGCAAGTTTAATTAAGTCATATGCTATGATGACTATTCAAGTACACAAAGAACTGAGCAGAGTTGAAATTTCAAAATCCATTGATGCATTATGCTAATTCTCTAATCTTAATGAGAAACATTTTCTTGACTTTAAACTAGAAAACTTTTTCAGAAAAAAGGTAAATGCTCATCTTTTATATAAAACGATATGCAACCACACAGAGAATGCTGGGCAGTGAATAACAATGTTAAAAGTAGTTATGATGCTTGATGATCCTTCTTGAATCAGTGATAATGATTAAACACCTTGTTGTGTTAGAGATGAAATACGAGGGAAATGATATTCAGAACCTTTTTTTGACTCAACAGTGTTATTTCCTGCATTATCTCCCTACTCTTCTAGATCACAAGTAATAGGGGATCTTTACATTTTGGGGGTTTTCCCAATGATTCATAGAGTTCCACTCCAGTGTGCAACTGGGATTTTAAAACATCTCTTCCTGCACCAGTGAGTGTTTTAGTGACCAATGGCTACCAGAGAAAGAGATGGTGACAAACAGAAGAGTCTACTGAAAAAAGATACAAAAATAAAAACTGTGCATGTCTATGCTACAACAGAGTGTCAACAACTTATTTATTCATCCCAGCCCCCAGAATTGACACCTGATGCTTAGATTATAATCAATTTCAATTGCATCCTTTAGGCAGCAAAAACAATAACGCAATAATGGCATTCAAAACAGCACATCATAATTTGTTGCCGTGACATCGTTATCCTGCTTCCTGAAAATACTCATCATTCTCTTCTAAAATATAACCGGTTGTCTAGTTCATTGTTATAGCCTTCGTTTGTAGCCAGTACGATAGGAATTTCAAAAACTGCTGGGACCATTTGTCCACATTTTTACTTATTATTTATTTATTTATTTCTACACCACTCTTATTATGTTTACAAATAACTCAGGGCGACAAATATATCCAACACCTTTCCCCTATTTTTCCCATAACAATTTAAATTATTATCATTATATTTCATACATCAAAACAATTATGTGTGTGAACTCTTATCAATTATACAGAGGAAAAAATCTGATTATCTGCATTTCAGCTAAGAATCTTCTAAAACTACAATTAGATTTACCTAACTGAGTAAGGTCCAGTTTGGTCCAATGCATTCCTGTTGGGCAATTTGGTGAAAGTGTCCTTATGAAGACCTGTCCCAGATTATTCAAGCTCCATATCGCATCCCGGCAAGCTGAATAGTAGACCATTTCACTATCAGATGGGAGCTGAACAGTTGAAGGATGGAACTGAGGATTCTGATCACTAACACAAAACAGGTCCTTGCTACTTTGGGACAACCACAAGAAACTTCCTGAAGGAAGGACAAAGTTTTTATTATAAATTCTATTTTTTTAGAAACCTTTATAAAAATTAATTAGTATTTGTACATAAAGCCAAATCTGCATTCTAAGATTGCATTAGTATAATTAGCATTAATACTTTCATAATGCAGTTAATTCACTTCACAGACATAAACCTTGGAAACATTAAAACTATAAGATATTTAAAAAATATTCCTACATTCCATATTTTTCTTAAAAAACAACAACCCTGAGGCTAAGAAACAGTTCTTTAAAATTCGTAAAAACAATCCTGTTCTTTCAAATCAGTGGCTGTTTTACCCTAGCATTCTGTTCTCCATAATAACGAGATGTTTCTGGGAAACCAACAAGCAGAGCAGGAGTCAATACAAACTGCTGATGTTGATCACATAAGAGGGGATTTATTTTAAATTTATAAAAATATATGTGAATGTTTCATTCCATGGTTTATCTTGTATAAAAGCATTTATTTTATTTTTAATACTCAGGAAATAAACATAAAATTAGTTAATTATCATAACATGGCATTGTTCTAAAATAAAACTGTTAACATTGAATGTGAAGAGAATAATCTTAGGCTATGCAACACTGAGAAAAATATACTAAAAACTTGGTATATCTATAAAACATGAGAATGAAGATTATGCAATTAAAATGTGGAGGCAGTAAGACATAAAAAGTAAATGACAAATTCTCAAGCTAGTTTTACTTGATCATTTATTAAATGTAATATATGGATTCCTAGTGAAGCAATGGTTTAAAGGGACTGGCAAGGATGACCTTTATAAGTTCTTAAATCACAATGCAAGTTAAAGGTTCATAGTAAGAGCAGGAATTTCCAATTTTGCATTCACCTTCTTCTTGCTATGTACTAATTAACTTAGAACTAAACAAGTTCTTAAATTACCCAGTTCCAATACTATTTTATGGATAAACAAAATGGTAGCAAAGATCAATGTATGTTTCTTTAGTCTATTAGAAATGCATGAATATATTTTAGACACACACACACACACACACACACACACACACACACACACAGAGAGAGAGAGAGAGAGAGAGAGAGAGAGAGAGAGAGAGAGAGAGAGAGAGAGAGAGAGAGTTGTTTTAACCTTCTTTTGTTGGAGCTGCAGAAGCTAACACAAAAGCCCATTTTGTAGCTGAAGCAGTGCCCCGAGGCACAACATTATTCCAATATGTACCTGCAAAGAAAACAGGAAAACCATCAATATAAAAACAACTCCTGTCTCATGTGCAGTAAGTAATGTCTGAATTCCACTTTTTTTCTTTAAGTTTTTATTTGAAAGAACCTATTCTATATTCCTGCTTTCAATTTTCATTTTGACCAAATGATGACAATTATTAAGCATTCAGAATAGAGATTCCATTCAAACTGAGGTAGTCCAACAAGATAGATCACATGGAGCAACCAATGCCATATATGGCAGGATTATGTTTTAAAACAGCTAGAGCAGGGGTCTTCAAACTTGGCCCTTTTATGACTTGTGGACTTCAATTCCCAGAATTCCTCAGCCATCATGGCTGGCTGAGGAATTCTGGAAGTTGAAGTCCACAAGTCATAAAAGGGCAAGTTTGAAGACCCCTGAGCTAGAGTAACAGAATCTTTTAAGTCTAAATCTGCTTCCCCTTCCCTCACCTTATGTTCCTGTGAACTAGGAAGGACTTGTCTGAAACATTTTTTCATGTTACTTTTATTGGTCCAGTCCACGTCCTTTTTACCTGTTACCTAGATAACAGCTCTTACTCCTGCCCTTCAAGGCCATTCCCTCTGGGACTTCCGGTGGCAGGCGACCTCGTCGGACGCAGCTGTTTGCTGCCTCCCGCCTGTTTCAGCGTAAAAGCCGTTTTGACAGCTAGCATCAGCTGTCAAACGGCTTGATACCCTTCCCCTGGGCATAAGGGGATAGGTGAGCTGCCCGGGGTAGGAGTTGAGTTCCCGAGTCGTCCCTTGTGGACAATGTAGGTTAGAACTCCTCCGGAGCCCCGAGGTTTCTCCGCGATCCAGGACGCCTTCGCTTTGGCGAAGCTAGAAGCCGCCGCCACTGCTGCAACTTAAATTGAATTGTGAGTTTTTTTGTAAGCAGACGAACCGACCCTGGAAGTTTGCTTTTTATCTTGGACTTTGCTCTAACTTGGATAATAAGTTCTTCCCTATACTTGAGGTGGATTGAGGGAAAGTGAACTTAAAATGGCGATGGATTGATACTTTTCAGCAAGAAGTGAAAGTGATTTCCGGTTTGGAACTTTTGTTACTTTTAATCTGCGTATTATTTGTTCTGGCTGAATTGCTTATAAGACTTTTTTATTACTGGAAATTTACTGCTAACATGGCTTTGAGAAAAACCGTGCCTTCAACTCTAAAATCAACTACATCCCCGATGTCCCAGCCACCCCAACCAACTTCTAAAATCTCCCACCCGCCAC